GCCCCTGCTAACCCCGCCCCCGCCACAGCGCCACGCCCATCGTGGTGACGTCACAGCCCTGGGAAGGGGGTGCGGCCCCTTTTAAGAGGCTTCCGGGGTGTGCGTGTTGTGTCCTTCTTCCCGCATGTTAAGAACACCCCGGGTGGGGGTGGGGATTCCGGCATTATGCCATAGTCTCTTCTAGAGCCTGGGGGAGGCGGTGCCCCCAACCGGGTGTCGCCGCCCTTTTAAGAGAGTCGGGGGGGCGGGCAGGCGTGGTTCAGAAATGACGCGCTGCTCCTTTAAAAGTATGTGTGTTGGGGGGCGTGTAGGTTGTAGCCGTGTTGGTCTAAGGACACAGGCAGACCAGGTTCCTTGGGTGAATCATACCTTTTATTAGACCAACACAGATAGTTGGAGAATAGTTATTAAGCAAGCTTTTGGGTTCAAAACCCCTTCGTCAGGCTAAGGCAGTGTCAGCAGTCGGTGTGTGCTCTTCCTGCATGGGATGACAAGTAAAGAAGCCAGCGGCCAGGCTGGTGTGCACACAAGACAGGTGGGCAGTGAAAATGTAGATTGAGGAGTCAATGGCTGAGAGACAGGCTGGGGCCAGCGGGGGAGAGAGAGAAGGGGGATGGAAGTGGAGAGATACCTGGGGAGTCAGATGCCAGGCAGATTATATTGTGTCATAAATCCAATGTCTATGTTTAGTCCCTGATCTCTAGTATCCAGGAGGTTGATGAAGTGGAGTTCGTAGGCTCGTCTCTAGGAAGTGCTGTGTAAGTTTCCTTTGAGGATCAGGACTGAGAGATTGGAGAGAGAGTGGTTTTCTTGGAAAAATGTGCCCCCACCGGTAATTGGGTATTGCTGTCTTTGATAGATTTCCGGTGTCCTTCATTCTGGTGCGCAGTTGTTGTCTGGTCTCTCCTACGTATCTTCCATCAGGGCATTTGATGCATTGGATGAGGTATACTACATTTCTGGAGGTGCAGCTGTAAGATCCTGGGATGCTGATGGCTGTGTTGTGGGGTGCAGTAATAGTGGGGGTGGTGGAGATGTGTTGGCAGGTTTTGCATCTCTTGTCCTGGCACGGTCTGGATCCTTTTGGTGTGTTCTGGGCTAGAGGAAGTTTGCTTCTGGTGATGAGGTTGGCGAGGTTCGGTGCTTGTTTGAAGGCTAGGATGGGTGGCTCTGGGAAGATCTTTTTAAGAATAGGGTCTCTGTCTAGTATGGGTTGCAGTTGTTTGAGGATTTTCCGTACAGGTTCAAGGGAGGGGTGATACGTCATAACCAGCGGTGTGCGATTTGTGGGGGGTTTTCTTCTGTACTGCAGCAGTTCTTCACGTGGTATCCAGGTGGCTCTTTCAAACGTGCGATCTCTCTCTCTCTGGATGAGGGTCCTTGTTGGGTGAAAGCCTTTTTAAGATTGGTGAGGTGGCGATCCCGGGTGTGCTCTTCAGTACAGATGCGGTGGTACCTGAGGGCTTGGCTGTATAGCACAGCTTTTTTGGCGTGTTCAGGGTGATTGCTGGTTCTGTGCAGATGTGTATGTTGGTCTGTGGGTTTCTTGTATAACGTGGTCTGTATTTTATCCTTCTGGATACTGGTCATCGTGTCTAAAAAGGAGATGTTGGTGCTGGAGTATTCTAGAGACAGTCGGATGGAGGGATGGTGATTGCTGAATTTCTGGTGGAACTCAATCAGAGATTGCAGGTTCTCACTCCAAATGATGAAGATGTCATCGATGTATCGTACGTACAGCAAGGGTTTGATGGCGCAGTCCTTGAGGAAATCTTCTTCCAGGTGGCTCATAAAAAGGTTGGCATACTGTGGGGCCCTTTTAGTGCCCATAGCTGTTGCCATCATCTGGAGGAAGTGTTGATTATTAAAAGTGAAATTGTTGTGTGTGAGGATGAACTACAACAACTTAAAAGACAGAAACCCAATCATCTTCCCTAACAACATACAATAAAAAGATCTTCCCAGAGCCACCCATCCTAGCCTTCAAACAAGCACCGAACCTCGCCAACCTCATCACCAGATGGGGGGCACTAAATATAGACATTGGATTTATGACACATTATAACCTGCCTGACATCTGACTCCCCAGGTATCTCTCCACTTCCATCCCCCTTCTCTCTCTTCCCACCCCCAACTCCCCAGCCTCTCTCTCACCCATTGACTCCTCAATCTACATCTTCACTGACCGCCTGTCTTGTCTGCACACCAGCCCGGCCGCTGGCTTCTTTACTTGTCATCCCATCCAGGAAGAGCACACACCGACTGCTGAAACTTCCTCAGCCTGTAAAAGCTTGCTTAATAATCGTTTTCCAACTATTTGGGTTGGTTTAATAAAATATATCAGATTCATCCAAGGAACCTTGTCTGCCTGTGTTGGTGGGGGGGATTCAGAATCGAGGCTCTGCCCCTTTAAGAGTCCCGCAGTGGAGGGTTTCCAGAATCGCGATCCTGCCCTATTAAGAACGCCAGAGGGCGTTGCAGAATCGGGAAGTTTTCCCTTTAAGAGTGTGTGGGTGGGGGGAGGGTCTCAGAGTTGGAGTGGTGTCCCTTGAAGAACCCCGGGGGGCGTCCCAGATAGACGTTGTTTCTTTAAGCGTGAAGGGGGATGTCACAGAATTTGGGGCGCCGCCTCTTTAAGAGCCCATGGCGGGGTGTCCACCCACAATGACGCGGTCACTTTAAGAATGCCTCGGCCACGCCCGCCCCCCGACCTTCCACGTCACAGTCTTTGCTGCCACCTTGTGGTTCAGTGAAGAACGCCTTGGGGGGGGCTACCGGGGGCGGGGCTACCCGTGGCCCCGCCTCCT